CAACAACAATTACTAGCACGTGGGGACACACCGTTCTCACCACTGCCAGGGTTTTCATAGGAGGCGGGCAATACCCCCACTTTGTGGGGGGGCCGGTTCAAGCTCTACCAAATTTCCAAACGACTCTTCGCCACAACCCACACCCAGCTTCCCGCCCTATGACGTTCGGACACTTCACTTCGTGGCCTGCGGACGACCGTGGCTACTACACTGGCGTGGAGTACACACCCACAGAAGTTGTTAGGACAGCGCGCGCGGGTGGAAATTTTGAAAAGTCGTGCAGGTGTTTTTCGAGGACCTACGGTGCGATTCGTGTTATTTTATGATGCGCGGTGCTAAAATTCTTAAGAACCCAATGGTTTTTGGAGATTTCGGCGTGCGCGCGCAAAAAACGAATGTGTCCCGCATGGTATTATTTGACATGGATGATGGCCCTGGCAGGTGCGCAACCGTTGTCGCAGAAGTTCGAAAAAGTTGCTCGCAAAAGCCCTTTTGACAGAAATGTTTAAAAAGTGTTGGGTTTTTCCTTTCCTATACTTCCTATGCTCCTCTCCTGCTTTCCTGAATTTCCTCTTTCCTAGATCCTTCCTAGAAACTTTCGCTGATTAGCGCTTCCTCCTAAATCCTAGTTGTCCTTTCCTTGGAGCCTATGGTTTTTTTCCCCCCTGGTCCTCCGTGTTCCTGAATGTTCCCTCCTGACCCTTCCTAATTTATCCTTTTTCCTACGAGTCCGCAAGAGCGCGCGGGATGAGATTTTGACATTTTTTTGTTGAAAAACCATTGGTTTTTTGATGTTTTTATGTTAAAATCGCTCCGAACACTAAGCTTTTGGAAGGATTTCGTCTTGCGCGCGCGAATGTCCACTTTACCTTATTTTTTGCAAGGGATTCTTGAAATTTGATATATTAGAACAAGAAATGTCATTTTCTATTGTTTTTTGCAAGGGAAAGCGGATTACAACAAAACAACCGGATCCTGTACACACCCTCTTTTCTGAGGCTTCCTCACGAAAATGATGAAAATGTAGCTGCGGCCTAGGCGGCGCAGGGGGGGCGCGCACCAGGGGGCCCAACAATATTATTCTTTAGAATAAATAATGTTGTATATTAATGTCAACAACACTGTGGTGGACAACAATCATTTTAAGACTGGGTACCACTCCGTTCTCACCAGTGCCAGGGTTTTCATAGGAGGCGGCAATACCCCACTTTGTGGGGGGGACGGTTCAACAAAGAAAAGTTAGAAAAAAAAATTCCAACAACAGAAAAAGACCTTAAAAAAAAAAGTTTCAAGTAAACAAAAACATCACACACAAAAAAACGAAAAAACAAAACAATCCAAAATCAGATAAAATAAAAAAATAAAAATCAAAAAAAACAAAAACAAGGAAGAACAAAAAACGACAAAAACAACAAAAAACGGATTCAAAATCAAAAAAAGGGCAAAATTCACACGAAGTAGATCAAATAAAAGACACCCCCAATTAAAAAAATCAACAGAGACAAAAAAAAAAAAAAAAAAAAAAAACAATCCGTGAAGCTCTATAGCCAATTTTTACAACGACTTCGCCACCACCCACACCCATCTTCCCGCCCTATGACGTTCGGACACTTCACTTCGTGGCATGCGGACGACAGTGGCTACTATTCAGGGCCCCGCGGCCGACGACGACGGCGTGCGCGCGCGAAGAAAAAACGAATGTGTCCCGCATGGTATTATTTGACAGGGATGATGGCCCTGGCAGGTGCGCAACCGTTGTTGCAGAAGTTCGAAAAAAGTTGCTCGCAAAAGCCCGTTTGACAGAAATGTTTAAAAAGTGTTGGGTTTCCTACGAATCCGCAAGAGCGCGCGGGATGAGATTTTGACAATTTGTTGTTGAAAAACCATTGGTTTTTTGATGTTTTTATGTTAAATCGCTGCGAACACTAAGGTTTTGGAAGGATTTCGTCTTGCGCGCGCGAATGTCCACTTTACCTAATTTTTTGCAAGGGATTCTTGAAAATTGATTATATTAGAACAAGAAATGTCATTTTCTATTGTTTTTTGCAAGGGAAAACGGATTACAACAAAACAACCGGATCTGGATCACATCGTTTTACCTGAGGCTTCCTCACGAAAATGATGAAAATGTGGCTGCGGCCTAGGCGCGGCGGGGGGGGCGTGCACCAGGGGCCCCAACAAGAATTATTCTTTAGAAGAAATAATGTTCAACAACAACGAGAATCCGCACCGCGGAATTCCACATCAGCCACGCACCCAGGGACAGTGAATGACCGTTCGGCCCCCTTCACTCTAATGTATATATGTATGTATGTGTGTATGCATGTGTGCATGTATGTTTGTACGTATGTCTACAATCATACTTCTATATACATATATAGGGTGTGTGTGTGTGTCTGTATGTGTGATAACAATGATGTCCAGGCCCTCTTTCCTCTCTCAACGTCGACGCCCCTCAGGCCTCTCCCAAGGGGGGGGGGCGTTCCAGCCGGGAGCATCGAGGCGGACACATCCGTGGACACGACGAGGGAGCGACGAAGTACACCAATCAAGGGACCCGAAAAGCAAGAACGCGAGGAGCAGAACGGCGCGACCAGCGAAGGGACCGACAGAAACGCCAAAATGACAACGAATGGAGGGTCGACAGCATCACGACTTGGGAGGTCTGTGCCGCCAGAGGCCCTGGGGGCCAAAGAGGTCCAGAAGCGCACAACGCGTCGGTGATCCTCGGCCTTCGAAGATCCTCAATCCTACTCGACCCTCCTTGATCCTTCTCGACCCTCGATCCCATGATCATCTATCAGACCACTCCCGTACTGGCCAGCTTCCCGAACTGTGTCCAGCCATGGCGCAGAGAACCACCAGAAACACCCAAAAACCTCTTAACTGACGCCGTTGATTTTCGATCGTCTTCGTCGCCGTCGTCGTCGCCGTCTCCGCCGACGCCGCCAACGCCATTGTCATCGCCATGATCATCAGAATCACCATCATCAGAAGCATAAGCATCATCATCATAATCATCATAATCATCATCATCACCACCATGATCATCATCATTATCATCATCATCGTCATCATCATCATCATAATCATCATCATCACCACCACCAGTGTCATCACCACCACATCCATCACCATCGGCGTTGGCCGTCGCCATCACAATCGCCATGTCGCTAACCATCACCATCATCATCACCAACACCAACACGATCAACATCATCATCGTCATCATCATCATCATCATCAGCATCATCATCATCATCATCATCATCATCATCATCATGATCACCATCATCATCAGCAGCATCATCACCATCCGCATCACCATCACCACTCAGCATTATTACCATCATCATCATCGTCATCATCATCATCATCACGACCATCATCATCACCACTCACCATCCCCACCCCACCACCAGCATCAACATCACAATGATCGCCACAACAATCACCATCACCATCAGCGTCACAATCGCAATCACTTCCACTACCACAATGTCCACTGGTCCATCGACCGGATACGTGCGCAGCATGGGAAGGGCCAGATCGCAGTAGGGGCTACTGTTCAATTGGCGCAAGCAGCAAGTTCTAGCAGTTAGATGCAGCACGCATGTTCCGAGACCAGACGGTTCGCGGGTGCCGCAGCAAGAGCGCGTCCTACACCTGGGGAGTTTCATTTCGAGCGACGGAAGGGTTGGCCCTGACCTCTCCCGCCGACTCAGTGCCGCGCGGGCATAATTCCAGTTGAAGCGAGTGGGGCCATTCCACGGTGACGCAATCAAGGAAGCTTGAGATCTTCAACGCATGCATCCTCAGTAATTGTATTGGAAACGACGACGTTCAACGCCTTCCACCTGAGATACTTGAGGCAAGTGCTCCGCATACCACATTCATATATTAGCCACGTGACGCATTCGTACGTGCTGCAGCAAACAGGCGCCACCCCGCTGAGCAATACCTTGCTGAATCGTCCACTTCTGTTCCTGGGGCATATCGCACGAAATCCAGCTAACGACCCAATCAGTGCGAGCTATCAGTACAGAGCTTCAAGCGTAAGCGGGGGCTCCCCGGGAAAACTTGGACCGACTCAGCGTTTGCCCCTGCTGTCAGGGCCGCGGGGGGCAAGGAGGCCCTGCCAAGGCTCTGGCAAGACAGCGCAACTTGTGCCGCAGCCTGGCGCGCAGCCGTGAAGCGGTATTGCGACGCACTGCGAGGCCACGGCCTTTATGTTCATGTGCGTTGCACCAAGCTTTGTCTCTCTCTCTCTCTCTCTCTCTCTCTCATATATCAATATCACAATCATCATCGTCGTCGTCGTCATCAGCAGCAGCATCCTCATCGCCATCGTCGTCGTCGTCATCGTCATCATCAGCAGCATCAGCATCACCAACATCATCATCATCATCACCACCACCAGTACCACCACCACCACCACCACCGTCATCATCATCGTCGTCGTCAGCATCACCATTATCATCACCATCATCACCACCAGCACCACCACCACCACCATCATCATCATCGTCGTCATCACCATCATCATCATCATCATCATCATCATCATCGCCGCCATTACCATCCCCATACCCACCCTCACCAGAATCATCATCCTCATCATCATCACCACCATCATCATAACCATCATCACCATCATCAGCATCATCACCATCGCCATCATCATCGAATATGCATCACCATCATCATCGTCATCATCAGTTTCATTATCATCCTCGTCGGCACCTTAATCATCATCAGCATCAGCATCATCATCATCATCAGCATCATCCTCATCCTCATACTCATCATCACAACCAGCAGCATCGGCATCATCAACAGCATCATCGTCATCGTCGTTGTCACTGTCGTCATCGCCGACGCCATCATCAGCATCAGCAGCAACAGCAGCAGCATCAGATGCCTTGTCACCACGGTCAGTCGCTGCCATTGCCGTCGGAGGTGCGGGAGACTGACGGCCGAGGCAGCTCTGAGGCGGTGGCCCCTGCCCCTGCCTCTGCCGCGGCCGCGGCCGCCCGGCTCCTGCTCCGCGTCCTCGACAATGGGCCGTCATCGTCGTCGTCGTCGCCGCCGCCGCCGTCGCCGCCGTCGTCCTCGTCGTCGCCGGCGTCGTCGTCGACGACCCCTCGGCGGCGCTCGGCTGCCCTCGGAGGCCTTCGGAGACCCTCCGCGGCCCTCGACGGCCCTCATCGGTTTTCCGAAGGCCCTTGGAAGCCCTCGGAGAGCCTTCAGAAGGCGAAAAGCGAAGAGAGCGGCAAACCAGCAGGCAAAGGCAAAGCCAAGAGGAAGGGCAAGAGTGGAAAGGGAAAAGATGGCAAAAGCGGTGGGAAAGGACAAAGAAATGGCAAAGGGAAAGGAGGCAGGTAAACCACGGTCGCTCCGTGGACGCCGTTGCGAACAGATGGTTTATGCGCATGGTCAACCCGCTGCCAGCCATTGACATTATCTTCCTTCTCGGCGAGCCTAGCCTTCTGTCCAATGTGTGTACCATGGATTGCACAAACCGTTATGTCAGTGTAGCTTCGTACGACCAGGTCCCATGGCCTGTGCTGTGGCTGCTCGGCCGGCATTCTCGAAAGCAGATTGCTTGCGAAAGGAAGCCAAACACATCCACTGCGGTCAGAGGGGTTGACAGTTTTATCAACAAAATCCGTTGGATGTGCATCAAGCATGATGTAGTACCACAGTCGCCGTGGAGACATTTGCACGCGAAGCACCGTTTCACGCCTACGTGCTAGTTCGCCTTGGTCAGAAAAGACGAGTTGCACTCCCTGCTCGAGGACGCCATGGATCCAGCCAAGTACTCCATGACAAGCAAGATTAGCATGCACAATACGAGCATAGTTCCAACATACCCTGAAATTGTCGCTTCTATAGCAGCGCGAACCCAAGACGAGGATTTGGAGAGGTGCTTGAAACAGGCACGGGGGTCCATGCTCTCCAGAATCAAGTGCACGATCAAGTCTCATAAGCCACCTGGGCGCGTCGCACCAAGGGTTCTGCATTGCAGCACAGGGCAGAAAAACGAAGCCCTGGCAAGGTGGATCGTGGAAGTGATCCGCCCAGGGATTGAGCCATACAGCCATTTGCACAAGAACACGGCGTCCGTGTTGAATTCACTGAGTCGGATTGCGGTGAGCCCCCGCGACGCATTTATCAAAGCAGACGTCAAAGATGTTTACATGTCAGATCATCCGGGCAAAGCATGCGGCCTCATTCGCCCCGCTAGCGATTCGAGAGGTTGTGGAACTGACTGGATTACACATTTTGTCAAACCAATTCGTATGTTTGGATGGTGATTTCTTCGGTGTTACTCTGGGTAGTGGCATGAGTTTCTTGTCGCAAGACATCGCAGACGCTGCGCCAATCAGAGAAATGGAGGAACCACACATCCTCACGCAAAGTTGGCATGACAGGTACGGCATCATTTGCTACGCAAGATTCAGAGACGATATGTTCATAGCCGCAAGCCCTCCAATGGTTGGTTGGCATCCGAGGCTGCGTAGTGAATTGTCCCGTTCAGAAAGCTTCGTCATTGATGAATGGGAGATATCACCGCGCTCTGTACATATCCTAGATGTGGAAATCTTCAAAGGCCCGGATGTGGCAGTTACCCGCAGGTTCCAGTGGGCTCCGCGGTGGAAGCTCACCAGTCTCGGCGTTCCTCTCGACGAACACACATGCCACCCTCGCAGCGTCCAGGGGTGGATAAAAGCGGAGTTAGGGAGGCTGGCGAGAAATTCTTCTGATCACCATTTGTTTGCTGAAGCGAAGGAAACATTTATTTCGCGATTGGCCAAGCTTCACATATCTGAAGAAACGCTCGCGAACTTACGCAGTAGAGACCCGTTTTCGCACATGCTGGTGCGTCAGGCGCTGCAGCGATCGCGGGGGGTCCCAGAAGGGCCCCCCGAAGAACCGCGGCAAGCGCAAGTTCTCCCCTCCACTCCAAGGCCCCTCGTCCTCCCCCTTTCGTTCCACAGTGCGTGGGCCCGGGGGGGGGCTGAATAGAGCTTTCAAAGACTATTGCTCTGACTAGGCAAGACTGGCCATGTTGAGGTATGGCTGGGAGTTCCATTTGTCGCATGCCATGGTTGCCTGGCGAAACGGCAACCAGCATTTGATTCATGCCGTGCGCAGGTGGTGCTCGAGGCAGGATGGCGGGCATTTTTTTCTGAGTGCACGGTCTCATAACAATGGCTCAGTGGGTGTCTTGAGGTAAATCCCAGGACGCTTAGTGGCGCTCAACTGGGCTAGGCCGACCCATGTCACTGAAACTTCATTCGTTGATTTCCGGTGGAAGAAATGACTCGTCTCGGGCAGTTGTGTCTCATGTTAAGTGGAGGTGCATCTTGTACATTCCGCTGCCCGACCGACCAGCCGGAGATGGCCGTTCGTCCACTACGAGTGTTTCAAAGCATGCTGGAGGACACTGCTGACGACGATAATCGCCGAGGGCGTGAGCGAAGTCCCCGGCGAACACTCGCACCACCTGGAAGCGGTGAGCCTTCCGTGGATATGTCATCGATTCTGGAAAAACATTCCGGGGCAAGTTACCTCATTATGTTTACGCCCAAATTCAGGATTTCATAAACAGTTTGCGGATGACGTCAACGCACTCCTGCGAGCCCAGGACAAGAGCGACAGGCCGACCAAGGACATCGAGGTACTCAAAGCAGACACTATCTTTGACGGCTGTCGCCAATATACCCCCAAGAAAGGCCAGAGTGGGAAATGCGTGTTGCAAAAATATCTGGAATGCAAATTTACACTGTCCAAGTGCACTTCGACTGATGATTGCAAGCGTATCATCTTCACCACGAACATGATCTTCAATCGGCAAGTTGATGAGATGGCGCAAGAAACAAGCATTTCAAATCTGGAATATGATACTGAATACGACGCATTCATTTCAAAATTTATGTCAATTGGAGACGAGCACAAGGAGGCCACTGATGATTTGGGTTTCCGCGTGCCACCTGGCCTGTTCAATTCTTCCGAGGCGGTGACCACAGAGAAGGCCACCAATTTGTACGCTTCGACTCTACACAGGATCCAGAACAAGTCCAACGAGGACGCAAGGACAATGAGATTCAGAACCAGAAGCGGGAGGCTGCGGTGAAGGCCATGGCAAAGATGGACCCCGAGAAGAAACTCGAGTACTCCATCGACAACAGGATCAATGTGAAGTTGGGCAAAAAACGCATCAAACGTAATGGTTACGACGAGGATTTGGGGGACCTGGCAGTCGGGAGAGATCCCAAAACGTGCATTCACTCATCAAAGCCGGCAGCCAAGGCGAAGGCCAAGGCAACCCCGAAAGCAATTTAAAAAAAGGCCGGCCCAGATTCAGAGACCCGAAGCCAAGGGCAATACGGATTGAGTCACACAACCATTTACACAAGAACACGGCGTCCGTGTTGAATTCATTGAGCCAGATCGCGGTGAGCCCCCGCAACGCAATGATGAAAGCAGACGTCACAAATTTTTATATACATGTCAGACCATCCGGGCACTCTTGCAAAGCATGCGGCCTCATTCGCCCCGCTGGCGATTCGAGAGGATGTGGAATCGGCTGTTTGTAACATGTTGTCAAACCAATTCGTATGTTTGGATAGTGATTTCTTCCGCGTTACTCTGGATAGTGGCATGGGTTCCTTCTTTTCGCAGAACATCGCAGACGCTGCGTTCACCAGAGAAATGGAGGAACCACACATCCTCACGCAAAGTTGGCATGACAGATACGTCATCAATTTCTACACAAGATTCAGTGATGACATTTTCATAGCCGCAAACACTCCAATGGTTGGTTGGCATCCGAGGCTGCGTAGTGAATTGTCCCGTTCAGAAAGCTTCGTCATTGATGAATGGGAGATATCACGGCGCTCTTTACATATCCTAAATGTGAAAATCTTCAAAGGCCCGGATGTGGCAGTTACCCGCAGGTTCCAGTGGGCTCCGCGGTGGAAGCTCACCAGTCTCGGCGTTCCTCTCGGCGAACATGCCAACCTCGCAACGTTCAGGGGTGGATGAAAGCGGAGTTAGGGATTCCGAGACATTCTTCTGACCACCATTTGTTTGCTGAAGCGAAGGAAACATTTATTTCGCGATTGGCCAAGCTTCACATATCTAAAGAACCGCTCGCGAATTTACGCAGTAGAGACCCTTTTTCGCAAATGCTGGTGCGTCAGGCGCTGCAGCGATCGCGGGAGGTCCCAGAAGGGCCCCCCGAAGAACCGCGGCAAGCGCAAGTTCCCCCCTCCACTCCAAGGCCCCTCGTCCTCCCCCTTTCGTTCCACAGTGCGTGGGCCCGGGGGGGCTGAATAGAGCTTTCAAGGAGTATTGCTCTGACAAGGCAAGACTGGCCATGTTGAGGTATGGCTGGGAGTTCCATTTGTCGCATGCCATGGCTCCTTGACGAAACGGCAACCAGCACTTGATTCATGCCGTGCGCAGGTGGTGCTCAGGGCAGGATGGCGGGTAATTTGTCTAGAGCACGGTCTCATAACAAGAAGTAGTTCCGTAGTCGTTGTGGCTCAGTGGGTGTCTTGAGGTAAATCCCAGGACGCTACGTGGCGCTCAACCGGGCTAGGCCCACCCATATCACTGAAACGTCATTCGTTGATTTCCGATGGGAAAGATGGTTTGGTTTCGGGCAATCGTGTTTCATATTGAGTGGCGGCGCTCGGCGACGCTCGGTTGCCCTCGGAGGCCTTCGGAGACCGTCTGCGGCCCTCGACGGCCCTTTTCGGCATTCCGAAAGTCCTTGGAGGCCCTCGGAGAGCCTTCAGAAGGCCTACGGAGGCCCAGGCAGCGCCGTCGCCCTCGACGTCGTCATCATCGCCGTTATCGGCGTCGTGGTCGCTGTTGTCATCGCCCTCGGAAGTTCGAGTCTCGGAGTTCGAGGATCGAGGCTCTCTGGATTTCCCAACCCTCCTGAGTTGGGTTCTCGTTTTGAACAGCACTGCGGCCGCACACCTTCCTTCCTTCCTTCCTTCCTTCCCGCCTCCCTCCTCCCGCCTCTCTCCCCGTCT